TTTTTAGAAAGCCCATGATGCCGGAGTTTCACAAAGTCATTAAGAATGAACCAAGGAAGATTGGGAGTTGTTGTTTCGAGATAAATATAACATGAAGAACGAATTACACCAAGAATTCGTTTTCCTTATTTGTCCATGTAGGTTCATTTATCCCATGAAAAATTATAATTTGTGTACTAGTACGTACACATACATACTGTATACACACACACAAACAAATTAAAAATAATAATAATAATAACGAATATACAATATATACAATATATACAGTATATGAATTATTTTTGAATTTTATAAAAATAGTAAGTTTGCCTGAATTGTTTAGATTTTTTTTTTTTTTAAAAAAAAAGAACATGGTTAAGAAATTACTAAATGTTTGCAAGCGTGCAATTAAAAAGTTAAAACTACATAAGCGTGATCAAAACGTAACACAAGAGCGAGACACACCGTGGCCATTCTGGAAGAAGGTACTACCGCGGAGACGAAAACGGAAGAGAAAGGCACGAACAAATAATGCAATTATCCAAAACAATGATGCTATTGAAAGAGATAATATTCGAAATAAAAATCCAGTATCATCACCATCGCTTCCTACGGAATGTTTGATTGAAGTATTTACTTATATACAAGATGATCTAAGGACTTTGAATGCATGTCTTTTGGTCAGTAAGGAATGGTGTAATATTGTAGTTCCTATATATTGGAGCAGACCATTCCATTATAAGGTTTCCGCGGATAATATAAATACATATCTTCAATGCCTTTCCAAACATGAACAACAAAATATAAAAGCTTGTGGTATTAAGTTAAAAAAAAATAATACGCCACCTACATTTCAGTATGCAGATCTACTACGAGAACTCAGTATGTCAAGATTATATTTATCCGTAAATGCCTGGTTACATATCTTTCAAAAATCTACTTTGTATGTACGTATAAGTTTTAATGTTATTTTAATATATTACTAATGTTAATCACAATTGTTGTTTAGAAACATTGCGAATCAAAGAAATATAATATGTCGAGCATTATGTAGATTATTTGTAAAAAGAAGTCAAGGATTATTATCACTTTCTCTAGATTGGTCACATACTGGAAAATGGAGAAATTATCCAATGTTTACATGTCATACTAAGAATTCATCAATTCTCACAGATCTTCAAGATCTATCAATTCATCATATAGATAAACGCGACATATTCACAGAATTATCTTGGTATTGCAAAAATTTAAAAACTCTTGAATTAATAGATTATACATTCTTGAATCTTCCAGAAACTCGACACCAATCAATTTACACACTAATCTCTTCTCAGATCAATTTACAACGTTGTAAATTTTTTGGGTATGGATCAAGTCCAATACGACCTATGGACGCGTTAGTGACACAATCTAAAACACTTACACATTTTGAATTAGTTTATGCAAAATTCTATATTAAT